AGGAAGTTGAGAAAGTGAAGAGGGCTGGAGAAATCCTAAGTGAGAAAAAATATCGACAACCACCTGATACAATCAAGTTCACCAGTGTAACAGATTCTTTGGAGATAGAGCTGGCAAAACATAATGCTGAGACAATGAACAAGGTGAGCATTGATTATTTTTTTTTGTCAATGTTTGCTTCAAGTAGGATCCACAGAACTATGAGGTCCACTCATGGAATACATAGTTCCTCTTCCTCCTTCTCATCCTTGCGATTCCTGGCATGTGAATTCTGAACATTGGGGTATACATTGAGGTTGCATTGCTTAGCATACAATGAGGGATTTTAGTCACGACTTCCACTGTACCCTGAAACTGGGGAGCCCTGCAAAGCAGAGGGAATGATGAACTCACCAGCTATCTTCATACTATAGACCTCTCTTTGTAATCAACCTTGTCCACCCCTGAACACAAGAGCTACTTACCTTGGTCTGCTCCCCTAGTCTATCCCTGGATGCCAACTGCCGAGGATTGCACAGCTCCTATAATTCACATGTCTTATCAGAGCCTTTTGCCGTAGGTGAGTTGCTTTCTTCTAGGCAAACTCAAATGTCAGTTGCAGGGAACACGGTGATGCTCTTTTTCATCTGGCCGGGAAGATGGCTAGTCAGAAAACATAGCCTTGACAAAGACATCACACAGACTCTTAGTTCTTCTGCCTCCTCAGTGCACCCCCTCCTACCAATATGGTGGTTAGCCCACACAGGTCACAACAACTGCAGGAATCTACTTTCCTGAGATCTTATGAGACTGCTGCAGGGAAGGGAACATGGGGAAGATTCCATGCACAGATCATAGTTTGCAACTCATGATGCTAAAATATTGGCCTCAAACTTCTAGGTATTCTTGTGAAAAATTTCTAGTTAGGTCATGAAATACATTATGGCCCATATTCATCTAATAATTCTTTCTATTCTTGCCTAAGGATTTGGAAACAATAACATCCATTTTTCTATTTTTCCACGTGAGGCTGAATGGAAACACTATGGTTTCCTAAGATAAAATAGTAACATTTGTTTTTGTGCTCCCCACAGAGGCTATATACTGAAGCCTGGGATAAAGACAAAACTACCATTCATGTAATGCCGGACACCCCAGAGATTCTGCTGGCAAAGGCCAATTCAGCCAACATTAGCCATGTAAGTGTGTTTTAAGGAGCTTTATAAGCTATATATGGAGAGTCAAATTTAGATTCTGTGAAAGCATATATATTTTCATGTACTCTTTTCTTTTTTCTTTTAAATCTCCTCTATAGAGACTTTACATTGAAGGATGGGAAGAGGCCAAGAAGAAAGGCTATGACCTGAGACCTGATGCAATTTCAATTGTTGCTGCAAAGGCATCAAGAGACATAGCTAGTGATGTAAGTGATTATCACCCTTATGGTTTTCAAAGTGACTCCTGTATAAATAATAAACAGCAAGAAAAATGGCAGAAATGTTAGGATGGCAATGAGATGTAGGTTCATCATAAGTCATAATGAAGGGGGGGAACCTGTGAGGAATCTATGGGGGAAGGCAAATCAAATCCCCTCACCTCTTGCTCTTGCGGCTTACTGTTGCCGCACTATTGCCTCTCCTCTGCTTGCCACGTCCATCTTCTCATCAGTGCTACATTTTCTACATGCCATTTTAGGCAAGAACATCCCAAATGGCACTCAAACACCAGCATATTCCTGAAGTAATAGTGCCCACTGCAGGGGTCCCCAATGTGGCACCCGTAGGCACCGTGGCACCCACCAGCACTTTTCCTGGCACATGCCAAGTGTTTTTAGGAAGCAGGGGTGGCCAGGGGGACTCTTGCCCAGCAGGGCTTCTAACTGCCCACTGGAGATCTGATTGGCTGTGCAGATTAATGTCATTTCAGTTGCAGTTGCCTCACAGTTTTAGTTTTATGCTCTCTCACTCTTTCCCAGTGTATTTCTTTTCTCCCCTGAACTTGGGCTTCCTCTCTCTGTGTGGCTCTGCTTCCTGGGGCAGCCATTTTCTGGTTGGCTCTGCCTCCTATGGCAGAATTCTAATTCTAAAAAAGAAATAATGTATAAATCACTGGGATTGAGTGATTTCCTGATCTGGGAAAAAACTGTTGCTTTGAAAATGCTTTCAACTGGGGGCTTCTGGTCTTCGGTGCTTCAACGATGGCTGCGTCTCTTGGCTCCTCCGAGAGACATGTGCCATGAATCGGGGATTAGGAGGGAGTGTGATTGTGCACGCTCCCCCATGGAGCCCATAGGCAATGGGCTCCTAGCCAGGGGGCTTTGGAGAGCCCTACCTCTGGCCGTCAGCCAGTACAGAGGGGCCACTCTCTGCCCTGAAGGTCCTGCCCTGATTCCCAGTATTGGATCAGAAGCGACCACCGGGACAAGCGTTTGGAGGTTTAGCGATTTTCTCTGCCTGGCGTGATCCCAGGGGCCATCTTAGGACCTGGTGGATCGATTCAAGGATTGATGAGTGAGTTTTCATTGAAACGAGACACCAAAGCCTAGATGTGAAGTCCTCCTACTATAAGCGCAGGGGGGGGAGGGGACGCCCTATCTCCTGACATTTTAAGCGAATGCGAAAGCATGATTGGAGGGACTGATCAAATTGTGGTGATGGAATGTAGCGGAGAGTTTTTCTGAAAGAAAGCTGAGCGCTTAAACAGACCTTAGATACTTTGGCATTCTTTCTCGGCAAATGTAAACATCCCCAAAAGATGGCAACGAGAGGCAAAGAGGGAGGCGGGACCAATGTTTTCTTCAGGAAGGAGAACAGTGGAAAGCTAGGTCATGTGACCTAACCATAGACTCTGTCTTTAAAGTGAATCGTAGGCCCTCTGGTGGCTAAAATGGAGTAGCGACCTGGATCTGTACTAAAAGCGGCTATATTTTTTAAGGGACAGTATTTGGTGCGCACTTTGATCATAGAGACTTATGAATGGTTGGAGATTCTAAAGTTTAGTTCATTTGTGGTTGGATTGGCAAACGGAGCGAAAAGCGGTTTTTTGAGTAAAGGACTCGCTACCCCAACTTCATAAGATCGGCTTGCTAAGAGAAAGGTTGGATTCTTCAATGAACGTGTTTTTAATGCGACAAAAGGAAGGTCTCTCTTGATTTAAGACGTTTAAGAAAGCAAAGATGTCCCTGGAAAAAGGAACTTGGTTTATATCATGAATGGACAGATCCAGACGGAAGAAGATAAATTGTTGAAATGTTCTTACTGAGGGAACATTGGTTTTAAAGATTTTGCCTATGGGGGGGAGCAAAGCGTAAAAGGAGATGCCAATTTTTCTTAAGGGCTGTGTCTATGCGTGTTCTAGTTTTGGAATTACTTTCTGCCTAGTCTGATAAGCTGGTTTTGTCAACAGAAGTGATGATTGGTGGGCACTCTTCATGTTTGAAAGTGTTTGAATAAGTGTAATAACTATGTTTTAAGCATTGTAAAACCTCCACACTTGGGTTTTTAGTTAGGTTCTTTTTACTTTCTCCTTTAGATGTAGATTTTTCCCTTCCCAATTTCTGTTGTAGTTTAATAGAAAAGCAAATAATAAAAAAATCCCCTGGGGGGGGCAAAAAATGCTTTCGACTGTTTGGTTATTAAACTGATGTTTAATAAATGTTGCTAGTAACACACTTGAGTTTCAGTTTTGCAAATACTTTGTTTCATTTTATATGAATTTGTTCACTGTAAAATTTGTCTTCCTTCTTTATAGTATAAATACAAACAGGCGTATGAGAAGCAGAGGGGACACTATGTTGGTGTCCGAAACCTTCAAGAAGATCCCAAGCTGGTGTGGTTTGCACATGTAGCCAACATGCAGAGTGACAGAGAGTACAAGAAAGACTTTGAGAAATGGAAAACAAAGATCCATAGTCCAGTTGACATGCTCTCAGTCTTGCTGGCTAAAAACTGTCAGAAGTTGGTCAGTGATGTGGATTACCGCCGCCACCTGCATGAATGGACTTGCCTGCCAGATCAGAATGATGTCATTCATGCAAAGAAAGTCTATGAGTTGCAAAGTGATGTATGTAAAAACATATATAAATGCTTGTTTTTATAACATGTTTCATAACATCATTCCAAACTTAGTTTTCTGCCACAAGAAGGCGCTTCTGCTGGCAGAGAAGGGAAATGATTTTCATTGATTTCCCATCCATATCATGCCTAGTGCTGTTCTTGGGATCTCCTGGAGCAGTATTTTGGGACATGGACTCTGCTGCAGGAAAGGAAGACTGGGACAATCCCATTCTTCAAATGCAGCTTTCCTTATATTACTTTCTATCCAACCCAGAATTATGATCTGTCTAAACCTAGAAATATCAGCTAAGCTGTTTTATGAATAAAGTAGAAATGTACATCAAAACATTTTTTTGGGGGGGGGGAGTTGATCTAAAACTATAATGACAAGAAATTTCAATGCACTATTTTATGTATCCACATTTGACTGTAACTTTCAGGCTAAATGCCTTACATTTCAACACTTTGTTCTTATACCGCAACAGATTATTTAGATTTGAACTTACCTTTGGAGTCATATAGGGCCTGATAGTGAGGTTGAACTACTACCTAGTTTCCAAGTTTCAGAATGAGGTAGATCAGATAGATGGGAGTGTGAGATGGCAGACTAGCAAGGCTAGTCAAGTACTAGTGGCAACCAAAAAAGTCAGAGCAAGTTGCCTTAATTCAGAACTTCATTAGAGCCCTGATGTGCACCTGGCATTTGTACACATGTAGCTGCCCTGTTTATTTCAGTGTAAAGGTCCCTCCACTGTAATGAATGGAGAAACTCTTGTGTTAAGAGGAGTACAATTAGTTTATATCATGAATGGACAGAGCCTTCATGCTTGCAAGGGTATCGTGGACATTGATTATTTTTTTAAGCATCTAATTATATGGAAGTGTCTCTCCCCATCTAACTTTCTTCTATGAAATGCATTTGTTTTCTTCTTCACAGAATGCATACAAGTCAGACTTGGAGTGGCTGCGTGGTATTGGCTGGATCCCAGAGGGCTCCTTGGAAGTCATCAAAGTGAAGAAAGCCCAGGAGATTCTGAATGACAGACTGTACCGTCAACGACCAGACTCTATAAAATTTACTGCTATTGTTGACACACCAGAAATTGTCTTGGCTAAGTCCAATGCTCTGCTTCAGAGTGGGGTAAGGAAAGTTTGCATTTGGTCTTCACTTTCCTGGTGTCTGCCTTATTTTGGATCTTAGGCAGAATGCATTGTAGGTGCACATATACTCTGGGACCAAGAAACGTTTATGGAAACCATTGTGCAGCATTAAGCCCTCTTACGTTCTCATTTGGATCACATTTAGGTCTTCTTCAAATCAAAACCGTTTTTCTATTATGATGGTGATCCCTTTAAAAGATGGATGCAGGATATCTGTTTTTTTATTTTAAAACTTGATGCTTTGGTAGATAAATGTTATATTGAATTAATGTTGCCAAATAAGATTTTGGTCTTTGTTATGTGAATGGCGATAGAAAAGGGTTTTTTATATGCATACCCCTTACAGCTAGTGCAAACAATACATTTTGAGCCAGTATTTTGTAGTGGTTAGAGTGCCAGATTAGTACCGGGAAGAATTAGATTCAGATTCGCTCACTGCCATGAATTTTCCTGTAACTGTCTCTCAGCCTCACCTAGCTCACGGAAGAGAATAAAATGGGTGGTGGTGTGCACTGCCCAAGATGATATGCAAAGGATGAGATGGTTAGACAGTGTCATCGATGCAACGAACATGAAATTGAGTCAACTTCGGAGGACGGCGGAAGACAGGAGAGCCTGGCGGGAGATTGTCCATGGGGTCGCGAAGAGTCGGACTCGACTGTGCGACTGAACAACAACAACAAATAACTATTTTAATTTTTCTGATAATGTAAATAGCTATTACAATTTTTTAAGTCCCCACTGCTCTCAGGGATAAACCAGTCCTGTCAACAGTTTATTACAGAGCATGAGCCAGCTGGAGTAGAGTGAAAATGGAAAAATCGAGACAGGAGGGCAAATCATCCTTGAGCTGTCACTTCTCCTCCGATGGGAGATCTGGCACCAAGAGCCAAATTGAGCAAACACCTAATTGAGGACCTGAGGGCCAGAAAGCTTCCATTCTCCAGCTAGGCATATTATTAGTGAACTGGTTTGTGGTGGGAACTAGAGAATAAGCCCCCCAATTGTCATTGGTCCAAACATGAGGATACCTGCTTGCTCATCCCTAGTTCACAGTGCTAGAGGTGCATGGCAATGTGCCCCTTTGTCTTTGCCCAGCTCTGGAAACTCAGTGGAATGAACCTCAGTATGCTTATTCAAAGGTGGGGAAAAGACTGGCCTGTTTTAGGTTTGTTTTTCTCTTGCCAATCCTGCTATATTTCCCTTTGCTATAAAATACTTCCTAACTGTATGTGCTTCCTGCTTGATGAAACATTTAGTGGAATAAAGCTGTTTTAGAAATCCACACATTTGATCCTTGGGAGAGATGGAATTCCTTGCATAAACTACTCCAGCCCATGTAAGCCCACGGATCGCTAAGCCACACAAAGAAACTGAAAGACCTGGAAGAACAGCTCCATCTCTAGTTGATAGAAGAACCCAAAAGGGAGGGAAGGAAGTGATAAACTGGGGAACTCCTCTTCACACACACTCACCTAAATGAGGTGGACCAGAGATCATCTCGTCCAGTGTTATAGTGGAACATTTCCAAAACCTGAGACCTCTCTGGTGGTGGCACACTACCTGGTTCTGATCCAGTTTGGACAGGAGGAGCCCAAATCGGATAAAGGTTTTCCCATGAATCCCGTCTCCTTGTTGTTTTAGCTCAGGCACCAAGTCAAGACAGCAGGTGAAAGAGAGTGAGCTGAGTGCTAGGGAGATCAGGATCATGACAAGTATTATACGGGAAGTTATGGCTGCTGTTAGCAGCACAGCATGTTGTAACAATCTGTGGCTGAATGTTTTGTTTCTCATTAGGCTTTATATCGTGAACTCTGGGATAAAGAAAAGACACAATTCACCCTTCCAGTTGATACACCCGAGATGGTGCTATCCAAAATGAATGCTCTGAACGTCAGCAAAGTAAGAAGTTAAAGAAATAAATATGAATGCATCTATACTATAGATTCATAGATAAAGAGCCTGGTAGGGCTTGTGTACTTGTAAAATTGTTATATGCTTGGAATCGAGTTATTCAGTTGTGAATTCCCTATGTGAATTTTCCCATAAGGTCCCAAGTTCAGTCCCAGCATGTCCAGTTAAAAGGATCTGCTCATAGGTGATGTAAAAGACCTCTGCTTGAGACTGGAGAGCTACTGCCTGTCTGAGTAGACAATCCTGAACATGATGGACCAATGGTCTGATTTGGTATAAGGCAGCTTCCTATGCATGCATTCGCTGAATAGTATTCCCTGAAGCTGTTTACCTCTTCAGTCCTTGACTTTAATAGATTTTACAGGTGGGGGTCCATGGGGGATCACATCTCCCCCCCCACTCTCTTGCCAAGTCCAGTGTGGCCCCTAAGCTTTCTGGCCACCACCGCCAGGTCCAACGTGGAGCCCTGGATTGTGTGGGCTGCGCTGCTGCTGGGTCCAGTGCAGATGGGGGCCACAGGGGGACACTTGGGCATAGTCTTAAGATACATTTTTAGTACATACAAGTATGAGAAAATATAAATTTGAGCATTTTATCCTTGCAAGAAATCTTTGTTATGGGAGATTGCTCGGGGGGAAATCATTAAATGGTGACATTTTCCTATCATAAATAATTCCTTAAGCTCACCATCTTGTAGGAAGGAACATAACCTAAATGTCATGCATACATGAGATAATATTCTTTAATAACCCTTACTAAAATGATATACACCGATACTGAATTATTCACTTCCTCTGCAGAAGCATTATCAATCTGGCTGGGAAGAAGCCAAGAAGAAAGGTTATGATTTAAGATTGGATGCCATTGAAATCCGGCAGGCCAAGGCTTCAAGAAATATTGCCAGTGAGGTACTACTGTCATGTTCTTTTTTTCCTGTAGCATTACACATCTATATTATATGGCTGTCTATGTTGAACATATGACTAATGGCAAACAGGATAAAGCTGCTTTCAGATTATGAATGGGCATTTCTATACTACTGGCATGAGCCCACATATGCTTTAAGCTGCCCATTACCATGTTTTTTCATCCACCATTGGCTATTAACAGCCACTCTGTTTTCAACACTTTCAGTTGAACACAGTGGCAGGCCAGTTTTTAAGCAATACATTCAGTCTTGTTTTTTCCCTTGAACTACAAGAACTGCAATGATGGATCAAATTAACAGGCAACATTGCTCACCACTTTGCCTTCCAGCCCACTAACTGTGAAGGGGAGGTATGTGTATCTAAGGAGATGATGGAAAGCTGTGAGTGCAGGGGCGTAGCCAGAAATTTGTGCGTGTTGGGGCAGGGAAGTGGGGAGCGATGGCAGCAGGCCACCTTGACCTCTTGCCTCCACCTGAGAGGGGCTCCTCAGCATTCCTTGTCTTTCCCAGCAGCACCTTGTCTTTCTTGGCTGCAGATCTCTGTGGGGAGGTGAGATCAGGGAACACCTTCCCCCTATTCCCCACAAAGCCCGTGCAAAATTGCCAGATCACATTTGACAAAGCCCAGATTTATAGCATGCACAATCAACAGCAAAACTTAGGGAAGCTCGCAAAAGTTGGTGGCAGAGGAGAGGGAGATGGTGGGGGAGAGGCAAAGGAAAAGTGGTCTGCTGCAGAGCTGGGTCCTGCTGTTGGCCTTTTTTCCTGTTGGACCACCTTTCCTCCTGTGTGGCTCGATTCAGCTCCTTTTTTACTCTCCCACCTTCCAGTCAAGGCCTTGCCTGCACCCCTCACCTCCACCCGGGGCTGCAGAGCATCTTCCCAGAGCTGGCCAGGAGTGCCTTGCTGGGGGCGCTGATTGGCCTCGTGCGGCAGCCCTGCAGACTGGTTCCCTTGCCACAAGGACTCCTCTGGGCATGAGCCAGGAGGGCAAGGACCCTGGGTCAGAGCTGGCCGGAGTGCCCAGAGACTGAGGCAGTGGGGAGTGACAGCAGACTGCCTTAATTGAGGTCTGCGGAGCATCTTCTTAGAGGCAGACAGGAGTGCCTGGTGGGGCATGGCTAATGAGTGAGGGGGCTTGGCCCTGAAATGCCCCACCGTAGCTATGCATCTATGTGAGTGGCTGTTGTGGAAACGCATACTATGTCTTTGGAGGCATGCGTCAACACATTCTATATTTTCCATGCAAAATATGTGTGGAACTTGGCTACTGATAAAATGTGAAATGGATTTCAGATGGCAAGAAAGTTAAAACCAGAGCATGATAGTGACAAGCATCCATCATGGTGAATTTCTGGCATCTGGAAATACTTATATACTGTGTCTGAACATGGGAGTGGTACTTCTTGGTATCAGTGGTAGTAGCCACTACAGATACATATTGTTTCACTGTGTAGACCTGTTAGTGCTGATCCATTGTTCATTTGTTTATCTGGTCTGTTTTAGGGAAATATGATTTTTGTAAAGCTTGTTTTATGAATTGTGAATTGCTTTTAACATTTTAGCAGAGAAGCAATTCACAAATATTAATCAATCTTAAGTAAATCAATTCATCAATCATTGTTTTTTAAGCCAGTTTCACACAGATTAGAGTGGGATTCAATCTTCATTATATGTGCAAGGGACTTGCAAAATTAAAAACAATACAGTTTACTCAAACATACTGTTCTCCTGGAGAATCTTCCACTAATGGAAGTTGTGTTCTACTCATGAAAGGAATTTTCTGCTCATGAAAAACTGTTCCAGGAAGGAGACTTCCTACAAGTGGAAGATTCTTTGTGGTGTGGAATGACACCTATCTTAATGATCAACATTAAAATACAAAAATTTTAAATGCAATTAAAAATTGTAGCATTCTAAACATTTGAGAAAATGCCTGTTTGCTTACATTTCTGTTATTAGTAAAAGTACTAAGAAGGCTAAAGAAGAAGCTTACCATTTCATCCTCCAGTTCTAAATGATGTAATTGAAACTGTCAGGTTGTTGGAAGCAACCATTTTTCTCTTACTAATTAGAAGGCCTTCTAAAGAAAAAAAATCTTTTTTGGCATGTTTATATGGAATTAATACCCATTTAGTCTGCTATATTTGTTCCTGCACAGATGTACATAGAACTACAGCCTTAGCGTAATAAAATTTCAGTACATTGTTTGGTGGTTGCCAGAAGTGCCATCAAGTTGCAGCTGACTTATGGTGACCCCTCATGGGGTTTTCAAGTCAAGAAATGAGCAGAGTTGGTTTGCCATTGCCTGCCTCTACGTAGTGACCCTGGACTTCCTTGGTGGTCTCCTATCCAAATATGAACCAGGGCTGTCCCCACTTAACTTCTGAGATATGATGCGATTGGGCTGGTCTGGGCCATTTATGTCAGGGGGTACATGGGCTGCATTTTTTAAAATCCTGGATGATCCTTATTAAGCATCAGGTGAAAAGTCTCATTGTGTTTTTCTTTGAAATGCTACTAGTACAAGTACAAAGAAGGCTACCGTAAGCAACTTGGACACCACGTGGGATGCCGAAACATCTATGATGACCCGAAGCTGGTACTAGCGATACATGTAGCTAAACTGCAAAGTGACCGGGTATACAAGCAAGAGTTTGAGAAATGGAAGACCAAGTTCAATAGCCCAGTGGACATGCTGTCTATCTTGTTGGCCAAGAACTGTCAGAAACTGGTCAGTGACATTGATTACCGCCACTATCTGCATGAGTGGACTTGTCTGCCTGACCAGAATGATGTCATCCAAGCCAAAAAAGTATATGAGCTACAGAGTGATGTAAGTAAAAGCAATAATTCACCTTACATTGTAGATTTCTTGTTTTGCCTCTTTTAATCCCTCATGACCTTTGGTGAAATGTTATTGCTTATTTAGGAATTTGTATCCTTCTTTTCTACTTGATAGACTCAAGAAACAGAAAAAAATAGTTTAAAAGAAAACACAACTCTGTCTCTTAGCTGTGAGCTGTGGACTAACAGCCAGGAGCAATGCCTGTAATACTTGCTCCCCCCCCCCATTTGCAGCCAATTTAGGATTTTCAAGGCAACAGACATTCAGAGGCAGTTTACCATTGCCTGCCTCTGTGTAATCTTAAGGTTCTTTGGTAGTCTCCCATCCAAGTACTTAACAGGGCTGACCCTGATGAGTTTCTGAGATACGATGAGCTTGGGCTAGCCTGGGATGTCCAGGTCCAAACATCAGTACCTGCTACAGAGGAAAAACAGAAGTTCAGCCCCAATCTCATACAGCTGGCTAAAAGATATTTCTCACCTTCCTCCCCTGCAAGCAAACCTGTGGCCACCAATGGCTCTGTGGTAATTTAAGATGGCCATTTGTCTCTATGCAATAGTAATTTTCAGCATACTTAAGCAGCCTTAAGCAGCCTGCAAAGGAAGGTTCACTCCACCTCACCTTACTTTGATTATTGAAGGGGACTGAATCGCCGGTGTGACCAGTTGTAATTCAGGATATCAAAAGCCCAATTACATTTCTCTGCTCTATCACAGGAATATATGTTTAATCAGACATCCTTCTTTATAGTTCCCACGTGGTGTAAACTCTATTAGAATGTGTCTTAGGGAGGATTCACATGACCTCTCAGATGTGCGATCACCAAGGTCTACATGTCTTTGCTCCATATTGGTTATTGTAAGGAGATATTGGGCATCAACTGTATGTTATCATTCTGATGATTATCAAGATAGTTGTATTGAAACAATGCAAAAAATATTTTGTCCAGAACGTTGCTTTCATACATAACCATTATGATGGAGGTTCTGAACACATTCCACAACCTGCTATAAAAAGATGTAACGTATCTCCTTGCAGTTATGTGAAGCTACCATTAAGAAATATCTTTAAAATGACACTTCTGAAGGTCTTCTAAATTCTTTATGCATAGAAGGATTCTATGGACAGGGAGCCTCAATATGCAGATTTTTGGACAGATTTTCAAGTGTCCGCCATGCCTACATGAATTAGTGTTTGGTCCTTTATTTCTGGGGAGTATTAGAAGAGCTTAAACAAATTTTTAAATCTTTTGAACTAAGTGTTGCATTGAGAATGTTTCTCCCATGTTGACACTAGTCCCAACTGGATACTTAGGTCTACAGCAGTCTTAATTTGTCTTCAAAAGCACAGTTGTCGTGTAATATGCTGTTTACACCACTAATCAATGTGGATAAAGAGGTGCTCAAGTAACTTCATGGAGTTATATGGAAAGCATTGTGGCAATCCAGACATGGACGTTCAGTGCCTCTGTTCTCAGGAGAAGACAAATCCACTGCCTTCAAGATGCAACATTCTTAATATGTTGAGGGTTAACTTCAGCTGTATTATGAATTGTATACCTGGTTCCTTTGCAGAATGCTTATAAATCAGACCTGGAGTGGCTGCGTGGCATTGGGTGGATGCCAGAGGGCTCTGTGGAAGTGCTCAAAGTGAAAAAAGCTCAAGAACTTCTGAATGACAGATTATACAAGCAGCGTCCAGACACACTGAAGTTTACCAGTATTGCTGACCCACCTCCTGTCGTCCTGGCTAAGATCAATGCTCAACAAATCAGTGAGGTAAACGGGGTTTATGTCATCATTATAGTCATCACTATATTCATGTTGATGATGTGGCACTGAAAACAGATGAGATTAGTGGCTTGAAAAACTGGGAAAGTGTGGTTGCATGGCTTTGAGAAATAAGAAATATTTTCATAATTCAGTGAAACAATCCACTCTTTGTGCTCCTTTAGAATCTGTACCGTGAAGCCTGGGATAAAGAGAAGACACAGTTCCATCTTCCTGCCGATACCCCTGGAATGCTGTTGTCTAAAATGAATGCCGTGAATATCAGCAATGTAAGAAAATTAATTACAGCATCAAGTTGCTCTTCTCTATTTGTGGAGTGATGTGTTTGCATCCTTGGAGGGAGCATTGACCTCTCGAAGCAAAATTCCCTAGGTGTCTGCTTGTAGTACTGGCTATTGTGGATAGTCCCTCCCAGCATATGGCCCCTGGAGTCCCATTTAGAGAGCCAATGGAAGCCAAACTATCTAATATTACCTAGTGAAAAGGAACAAGCAACTTCATCAGCACATTCCTTTTCGTAGTATTCTTTGCAAATATATCTATGTATTTAGACAATCTGTACACTGCCTCTCAACAGTCCTTCTCAAGGTGGCTACATATTAAATTTACAGCACAGAATTGCAGAGTTAGCTATGCAGGCTTCCTAACTCTATGGCATTTGAAGTATTCTAGGGAGACTGTAAGTGGGATGAAAATGCGTTAAGGACTACAGCAATTGGGCCTCATCACCCCAAATCTGGCTTTAAGTACATAGTTAGACAACATAAAGATGAGAGATATTAAGTTCAAGATCACCGGGAAGAGATTTTTGTAGGGCGTGGTCATCATCATGTGATTTTCAAGACCCCCGAACAACTGGGTATATGGGCAGAAAGCTTCACTTTCCTCTGCACCTGCTGGTTAAATTGATTTCTAGCTCCAGTTTCACTAATTCAGGTTTCCACTGCAACAAATAAAGCATAGGCAAGTCAGCGCTCCAAGATGTATGTCCATATATATGTAAGTAAACTATATTGATGCAATGTTTATACATGCGCAGTTCATGACAGGACGTTCACGACGTTTACTTTCATCGTGTATTTTATTACCACACTGAAAGTGGCACATTAATTTTGATTGCAGAAATGTTATACTGGAGCTTGGGATGAGGCCAAAGCAAAAGGTTATGACATAAGAGCGGATACCATTTCAATCAAGCAGGCTAAAGCTTCCAGAGAAATTGCCAGTGAGGTACAGTCTCAGTATTTTACATTTTACTTCTATGGCTTTATTTTTTATGTTGTGAAACTATTTGGTATCAGTATATGTCTATACAATCCACTCTCAGAGTCGTATTTATTCAGCTATAAACATATAGCCCTGTATGTTTGTTGTAATGCAAAAATATCTTACCCATTCCTTTTCATTTATGATTTTTAAAGTTTGTTCCTCAGAATAATATTAAAGTTTAATACATTCCATTAAATTGCAATGCCATCGAGATAGCTGTTGGAAGCGAATATTGTAAATTTTCATCTTTTACGCACTAATTAAAGTGGAGTTTCCTTCTGCTGGAGGTTTTCAAAGGTTGAATTTTTAATTACTGATTTAATGTTTTCTATTCATATATACAGTGTTGGAGTAAATATATATCTTCCAGAGAAGGTTAAATATGATTGTTTATATTGTCTTTTCAAAATTCTATTGTGAGTTGCTACTTAATTCCCATAACAGACATTAACTATATTCCAAGTGTCTGATACCATTCAAAAGCTACCATGACTTTGGGGAGCTTATTACCAGATCTTTTGGGTGAAAATTTTATGCTATCCCTTAGGCAATCATTTATAAATATTTTATAAATCAAAGTATCTAATCTGGGAAGTTTTGGTTATTCCATTTTTACACTGAATATATTCATTGGTTGAAAATTCTCAAACTGGAAAACTAGCAACTGCTACTTATTTGTCTTTTTGGAAGTATTCTAACTATTTGCACTTCTCATTTTCTTTCCTGCATTCCTGTAAAGTACAAGTACAAAGAAGCTCATGAGAAACAGAAAGGTCACTACATTGGATGCCCTTCAGTAGCAGATGACCCCAAACTATCATGGGCTGCCAAAGTATTGAAGATGCAAAATGACAGAGAGTATAAGAAGGCTTACAACAATTCAAAAGCCAAGATCGCTATACCAGTTGATATGGTGGCTATCCAAGCAGCCAAGCAAGGCCAGTCTTTAGTAAGCGATGTTGAATATCGCCGTTATTTGCACCAGTGGACTTGTCTGCCAGACCAGAATGATGTGATCCAGGCAAGAAAGGCTTATGAACTACAAAGTGATGTAAGTATATATGAGAAGAGACATACAAATAATGGAAAGCAATAGAGGCTTTGTGATACGTGGTAGCAGAATATTTCTTACTGCTGTGCCCATTCTTGCTTTCATGTTCTTGGTATGTGTTCAACACAGCAGTAATTTTTTTGTCATCAGAAAGACATTTCTGTTGGTGTAGAAGGAAGTGCGATCCCCTCTGAATTTCTCCTCCAACACTGTATCTAGTAGGAGGGGAGGGTGGAAAAGTGCTGTTTCCATGGGCTCTGGGTCACTCTTTGAGTATAAGTCAGCGTCTGAAATTTAACCTCGATATGGTCATGGAATTATCATAGAATTTGATCATGACTAGCATGGAAGATGTTAATGAAGCATCACTCATTTATGGTGGAAAAAATTACCATATTATGAATATTAACAGTGATATTGTGATGCACTTGAATTATTTAAAAAAGTAACTCACCAGAGTCTCTTTAAATAGCTGAGTAAGCAATAATCATTTGGGGTGCTGTCACACCAAGTTCTGTGTTATCATGCATGATTTTATGAGCTTTCTGCTAGTTTCATTCATGAAGTTGTCAAGCAACATTAATACTAGAAGTGAACCTCTGAGACCTTAATTTTTGTTCTAATTTGATGTAGAGCTAAAGTTAGTAATGACCAATTTGTTATATTGATTTTAATGGAACTTACAAAAGGTCAGTCCAGAGAAAGTTAGTTCTGCTTAAGTTCCATTAAAATCAATGTAACAAATCAGTTACTACTAACTTACGTGTGACTTTCTTAACCACCTACACAGTATTTTCTTTTGAGATAAATTTAAACTCCTGTTTTTCTCTGCAATTTCATTTTACAGGCTATTTATAAGTCAGATCTAGAATGGCTCCGGGGTGTTGGATGGATCCCACATGAGTCTGTGGATGTAAAGAGGGTGAAAGCTGCGCAGGATCTCTTGAATGAGAGACTGTACCGCACACCACCTGACCGCCTGAAATTCACCAACATCGTTGACACTCCAGAAATTCTCCTTGCTAAAACCAATGCCGAGCAACTCAGCCTTGTATGTAAATCTTTCCTCTACTGTGAAATTGTTCTGTTTAATAAATAACACAACCAACCCTTCCTACTTGTTTGTAATGCCAAACCACAGTTAGTATTCATTTAAATGGCTTTGGCACTCATAAAGTGAAAGTGTGCAAGAGGATAGACACATGTTATCAGATGGTTTTGTATTTTTGTAGGCTAAATACAGAGAAGTCTGGGATAAAGATAAAACCATGATCCATGTGATGCCAGATACACCCGAAATCATGCTGTCCAGGGCTAATGCTGTCAACGTGAGCAATGTATGTATATCTACAGTATTTCTTTAGTTGATATCAAAGGTATCAATATTCAGGCTAAGGACTGCTTCAGATGATCCAAGTGTCCCATAAGCAAGAGTAAACACTGGTGACTGAAAACTGACCAGGGCATCCTTATAGAAAAAAAGCAGATGTGTGCAGAATTGTCATAGATGATTATCTACACACAATTTTCATGCTCCTCCCTACTCAAATTTAGATGCTGAAATTCTGTAAGATTTAAAGTGACACCTTAATAAGTGTGCCTGCATAACCATTTGAGCGACAGAGTAGATGGCTATCATCAGTTTACAAGTTGTTGAGGGCTGTGTTTGGCCAAAAGTAAGTTCCAAAAGGATGCCTCTTACTAGGGCAATGTTACTGCCAATGGCCTGCCTTGTTGTTTGAGGAAGTTAGCTATGCGGCAGGATAGGCCAGAGGGGTACAGGAATCACACACCACTTGTATACCAAGGTCCAACACAGTAGGGAAACTCCAGATTTGAAGAGTAAATTGAATAGTTTTTATTAAAGTATTTCCCTAATTACAAGCACACTAAACGTTCAAAAAGAACAAGTAATAAAGAACTAAGAAAGCAGAGCTGATTGATAGCAAATAGAGGGGGTCAGTTACTGGGTAATATTACCTGTCCAGACTTGCAGAAGTCCTTGAAGAGAATAGTGCCAATGGCTAGCATTATGCACTATGAGGGGGCAGAGAAAAAGAAAGAGAGTGGGGGTGTGCATGGATGTTTGGAAAACAATGCTGACCAATGGGAGGTTTTGAGGGGCTTGTATCAGGTGAAGACAAAAGATTACCTGGGCCAATCCTGGGTCCCAGGGGGTGTGGCATCAGGAGGAGCCAGACCTAGATGTAACCAATGACGTTCCAGAGGGGCAGAGTCAGGCTTAACAATAGCCTTGATTAAATCAGCCAGGTGCTGGGTAGCTAGTTGAATTGGCTTTCTGACCACTAATGGCCCAGTCAAGGCAGTTTGAAAAGGTTCCCAAGTATAGACAGAAGGTGGGAGATGGGTCTCTGATTAGATCGCTAAACATTTCAATGTATGATTGGCATATCTTGGTATCCTGAGAGATGGAGCAGGAAAAAAAGGGTTTGGAAACAAAGGATTCTCACATAGACATGGGGTCACACAAAAGGGATAAGTGAAGTTCTGGAGATAGGACTATTCGCCAGGTGGCAACTGAATAGCCTTTAGAAATGCAGATACCTAACTGGTGGAACCCACTGTTTCATATGCATACCTCTTCTGGGGTGGGGGAGAAGACTGGAGGTTTTCTCCTCTGAGGGCTGCCTTTTATGCCACCTGAAAATGGAGACCCTTTTTCAGGGCTTTTGCTAGCTCTGTGGTTCAGAACCAGGAGTGTCTTCCTTGGTCTGGGTTTGTGGGTCTCTGGCTTAGGTTAGAAATTGGGGTGCCCCTTTGTTGCCCCAGAACCTCTGGGCTACAGCAGTGTCACAAAAGAATGTGCAAGCTTTCAGGTTCACTAGAACTCTTCATCAGGCCAGGTGTTACAATGTCAAAGACTGGGGGGAAAGTAGATTTTTCAGGTAATAATTATAAGAACTTGTCATGCCATTATATGTTGATTTCCACATACAACTGTGCACAGCTTGAAGCATGTGGCTGTTTCCAAGCAATATGCTTTGGGCTTAATCTAAATTCAACCCAATAGATTAACTTCACTAATTCTTATACACAATTTCTAAAGTGGATGAGAGCTGTTGAGGAGAAGTTACAGTGTATGGATTTACTCCCACAGCCCTACAGCATTTTGGGGAGCAAAAAGTAATTAAACAACAAATTTGGGACATTATAAGGACATTCATTCATTATACGTCGCCCACATTCTATCTAATTTTCCAGATAGATCTAACAAGTTTTATATGTCCCTTCTCCTTTCAGATCACTCTAAGGAAACCACCTTTAAGGTGGACATATTTTTTGCTTCAGTTTATTTAATAAGGAAGCACCTGGTTATTTTTTTTAATTAATTATGCATGTAAAATGGAATTTAGTTTATAGCAAGGATTTTTTTTTACTGTATGTGCATATTTCCTTTTATGTTGGTTATGTTATTGCTGATGTATGATTATAATAAAATTAAGTAAGCAAGGAGCTCATTGTAGCCTTCCCTGTCTGCAATGAGAACAGGGGACTTCTGGGGCCCAGGAGTAATATTGATGATTTATTTGCTCTTCTCCAGTCTTCTCTTTCCATCTAAGACTGGTATTCTGTAGACATTGGCTGCCATAGTGCCCTAGGTAATATATGTCAGCTTCCCTGACTCGACAACCCATGCTTGGCAATGGGTCTTGCTCTGCTGTTTTGTCTGATGCAGCCATGCTACATATAGTAACAACAATTCTGGTCTCTGCAGTTGCACCAGTTCTGGTTGATGTGTCAGTGTAGTCTACTGGGTCAACTCACAATAGCAACCTTGATCCACAGCTGCAATGTTACACTGGAACAAACTTCTTTGTCTCTCAAACATTTATTACTAAGTGCAGCAGCTGCTAAGATTTACCTGTCAATAAAATGAATGTTTCAGTATATCTTCATAATCACACAAGCTACAAGCTGCCAATATTTTGGGCCAGTACTGATCCTATATACATAGTGAGTCTCTATGCTTGAAATAGTGTTGAGGAAGGAGTCTGAGACAAAAGAGAGCCCGGGAGCAGTCCTGAGCAATCCTGAGCAAGTAGCCGTGGACATATGTCCCATTTTATTCAGTGGAGCTTATTCCTAGGAAACTGTTCTTAGGACTAGAAGAGTATAATAACAACACTGTGCTTTTGCAGAAACTTTACAGGGAAGCTTGGGATGACATAAAGAAATTTATTGATCTGAGATCAGATGCAGTCCCAATCAAGACAGCCAGAGCTTCAAGAGAAATTGCCAGTGATGTAAGTATGCAAACAGAAGTGTGTATGTTTGGGTACTTCATGGATTCTGGAGTGTTTAAAATAATAGTGCAAGAAACGGAGTTCGAGGAAAGATAATAGGATGCTGTGGGCCTTGCACTTGACAATTATTAGTTTATAAATTGTTAAAAGACAGAGAAAGATATCTTGGTATAATGCTGAAACAATATAACAGTTTAAAGGAAAGGATCAGATACAGAGTCCCTCTTGAACAAACAGAAAGGCACTTCCAGGAGAAAAAAAAGAGGGACAATTGTGGCTGATTTCCCCCTTCCTACTGCAGATGCTAACATTGGTACTTTATGTTGTTCCGAAATTCCCCTAACACCCCCAGGAGATTCGTTTGTGAGAGTGCAGGAAGGTACAAAAGGATAAGGCAAGGTGCTAGATCTGGTAGTGGTAAGAAATGAGGTCAGACAGACCTTACTAATAACTAGGTTTATTGCCCCAGAACACAACCAACATCAATACTATGCCCCATCCCTTTCAGCCAGTGCCCAAAACTACAGGGGCTGAAGAGGTCAAAACAGCGCTTAGATACTCAACACAAGGAAGTACACAATTAATTGTGACAAATTGTGACAATTAAAATTGTAAATGCATTTTGAATAGTAAATTCTAGCATTTGTATTTGATCCAAACCAGAGGTCATTTCGGGGGGGGGAACGCGGGGGAACGCAGTTCCTCCGGGTGAGGTGCAGGGTGGCGGGGCACATGACGAAGCCCCACCCCCTGCTTCCGGCCACCCCGCTTCCAGCCCTCATTCAGTCAGGAGGAGGCAGGAGAAGAGGGAGGGTAAGTTGCTTCCTCCCCGCCTCTCCCCACCCCTGCCTGCCTGGGGCCAGGGAGGGCCTTGGCGGGGCTTCCTCGCACTCCCGCTGGCCTTGCAGGTCCACCGCCGGGCCCCTGATGTCAGGGTGTGTGGCATATGCTAATGAGTTCCCCTAGCTCTTTTTCTACGAAATGACCCCTGATCCAAACCATGTTTAGAAACATGGATTTTAAAACTTATGATTCCCCATTACCCCTACAAAATGCTGTTCTCAAATCTGAGATTTATGAATTCAGAATCAAATTTACTAAGCTTACCATTCCATCCTTCAGATCCAAATACAATAATTCAAATGGTCAGGTGTACATAGAACTGCAGCCTTAGCTTAATAAAATTTCAGTACTTGATTTGCATTTTTCAGAAGCTTACTACACTTTCAGTAATCCTTGTATCATGTGAAAAGTCTCATTGTGTTTTTCTTTGAAATGCTACTAGTACAAGTACAAAGAAGGCTACCGTAAGCAACTTGGACACCACGTGGGATGCCGAAACATCTATGATGATCCTAAATTGGTACTGGCGATGCATGTAGCTAAACTGCAAAGTGACCGGGTATACAAGAAAGAGTTTGAGAAATGGAAGACTAAGTTCAATAGCCCAGTGGACATGCTGTCCATCTTGTTGGCCAAGAACTGTCAGAAACTGGTCAGTGACATTGATTACCGCCACTATCTGCATGAGTGGACCTGTCTGCCTGACCAGAACGACGTCATCCAAGCCAAAAAAGCATATGAGCTACAGAGCGATGTAAGTAAAAACAATGAACAGTAATACATTTACATTGTAGCTTTTTGTACATTTGACCCTTGTTGGATTAGAATTGTTGGCTCCAGAATAATCTGTGTTGGGCATTTTGCCTAATTAATAGTGCAATCTTTTACACCTATGGCTGTGCATTCAGATATACCCAAGCCAAAACTGAACATGAAACTTTAAACTTTAACGGGCAAATGTGCCTTCAAACAGTGGGGCACTCTAAATAACGGGCAGAGTCTGAAGACCTGGTCTACTATCCATCGTTTTGCACTAGCCTGTAGACTTGGCCTCTGGAGTTAAGCATCCAGGCCTACTGCCAATTTATTTCAATGAGAGGCAGACCTGGTCTCCAGAGACCATATCTACTGTCAAAGTTTAAAGGAACAGTGAGGGAGGAAGCAGAAAGAGAACAGAGGAGCAGGGAGCTTACTGCCATAACAGGCAATCAAATAATGTCACTTTAAAGTTCAAAGGGGCATTAGTTTCAATGGGTGGTAGGCCTGGCCTCTGAAGTTATTTACAGTGCAGTGCCCATTATTTAAAGTGTGCCCCCAGATGCTTGGCAGCACATGGGCTCTTTATGTTTTAAAGGGGCATTATTTTCTATGGGGGTAGACCTGGCCACCAGAATTCAATATTTATTTCATGACACTGTTTGTAGATATCAGAGAAATAAGGCCTTTATCCTTTGAAAAACAGTCAACATTGGCATGAAACATTACTTACCGAATTAGGGGTTACCTGCACTATTGCATAACTAAATTCATTTTTTCCCACCTGTCTACACAGGCTGTTTATAAATCAGATCTGGAATGGCTACGTGGAGTTGGCTGGATGCCAAATGATTCTGTGGGGGTCAACCATGTTAAAAATGCTCAGGACATTTTGAGTGAGGTAATGTTTAAAGTATCCCTTCCCTCATTTATCTGTGCAAATCTTTTCTAATGTGCTTATACGTGGAAGTGTTTTCTTTATAAAAACTGGCCTTTTCCGAAGACACAGGTTCTGTTGACATGCCTCATCTTTCATATTATATATAAAATTTATTTACTGACACAAGACTCCTATACACATGTGTGTGCACACGCACACACACACACACACACACACACATTATCAGCAAAACAAAAAAGTTTTCTTCCAGTTTTGAGTTACTTATCTGCCGCTTAGGGCTGAGCTGTTTTATGTATTTTAAGGCCAAGGGATGTTGTTTTAAAGGGACCATGAGGTATTTCCTTTTTATCAGACTAATAATTGTAATTTAATACCAATACTAGTGGTTCTCTTATTCAGGGTATGCTGATAGATCAAGATGGGTAGCCATGTTAGTCTGTCTGTAGCAGTAGGAAAGAGTCCAGTAGCATCTTAAAGACTAACAAAATTTGTGGTAGGGTATGAGCTTTTGTGAGTCACTGCTCACTTCTTCAGATACCAGGGTATGCTGGGCATGAATAAAAGTATAAGAAAAAGGAAAACAATTTTGAGGAGAAGACATTCTCCACACTACAGGAAAGTGCTCCTCTCAGCAGTCTGCATTTTATTACATCAAGTACTGGAGTCATTAACTGTGTGACTTTTTTTTCTTGTGCAGAGAAAGTATCGTACAAAAGTTGACAGCCAGAAATTTACTCCAGTGGCTGACCGGGTTGATTATATCACAGCCAAACAAAGTGGGGAAATACTAAGTGATGTAAGTACTTTTAACCTGCCAAATGATCTATGCATGTGGAAAGAACAGTATTTTGTGGACTGAAATTGTATTATGTAGACAAATCACTGTGGGTGAATCACAGTATCATAATAGTGCAGGTACCCCCTAAGCAGAGAAATTTAGTTTCTGTGCCTATGCCTCCTACTCCTGGTGACATTTTGCAGAGGGTTTCCTCTGTTTAGTTCAGTTCAGACAAAACACAGAACCATAGTTTAGTTAAACTAACTATGTCAAGTTTGATGGTCTGAATGCAGGCCACTCACTAAGTGTGGTTACTGTGTGTCAATCATCATCATCATCATTATTTAATTGTGTGTTATGGCAGTTGCCTCTGCTGTGAGCCGCCCTGAGCCCATTTGGGGAGGGCGGGATATAAATCTAATAAAGAAATAAGTAAATACATTATACTGAGGCTTGATATATTTCTGCAGTATGGGCTCAGTAGCTTTCTGAACCCTTGAGCATACTTCTGTGGTCTCCCATTGACATTTTCCTCATTCACAGAAACTAAAGTACATAACTGTATAGGGTTGTGCCTGCGAAGCATAGCCAATTCTATCACCCAAGTAAGATTTATAAGCCTGTAACATCAATTTGCAATACGTTTATTCTGTGTATTTTCCTTTTTCAGATTAAGTACCACCAAGAATGGAATAACATCAAAACAAATTATACCCTAACAGAGACACCACAGTTAGAAGCAGCTAAAGAAGCAGCCAGGATTCTTAATCATGTATGTACCTTTTTGCCAAAGAAATATGAGATTTGAGAATTTTACAGTGCAATCCTAAAAACACTTTCCTGGTAGTAAGACCCATTGAACAGACCAGAGTTGGATGCCGTGTAGACCCATGTAGGATCTTTCTTTTAGGCACATTTAGAATTAGGTAAACATGAGTCAAGCAAGGCAGTTAGGGATAGGGATGGGCATGAACCGGGGAAATGTGGTTCATTTTTGTTCATGGTTCGTGGTGTGTCTAGTTCCTGAGCTATGAATCATCATGAACGTTTAAGAGCTAAAGGAACTGGTTTTGTTTGTGAGGTCTGTGATGTAGTAGAATGCCCCCACCCCGAGTGCTAGAGACACCAAACTTGCAGAGAATCTCCAGCTGACTCTCCTCTATCTGCTCTCCATGTTTTGTGAGGATTGGATTTACTGGGCCCAAGTTACACCCCCCCCCCAAGAAGGTGCCCCGATCCTTCATTGTTCCCAGTGTGGGGGGGGGGGAACAGCAAAAAGCAAGGGCAATAGAAGCCCAGGAGAACAGAATCAAAGTCTCAAAGAATCTCTGCAGTAGAAACTGAAGGTGGGGTAAATTTTTGCAAGCCCAGCAGAACCTGTGCAATGTGCCCAACAGAACCAGTGCCACTGTGGTACTGCACACCCAACAGGACTAAGGTCAAACCAGACAATCTCTTCAGTAGAAACTGAAGGGGGGGCATTTTTCCAAACCCAGCAGAGCCAATGCAATTTACTAATGCCCAACAGAACCCAGTACCATTGTGGCAATGCCAGCTCAACAGGACTGGGGAGTGGGATTTTGATATCTCTGTGCAAGAAAATGGGAAGTGAACATAAAGGAATGCCTGCAAAAGGGGGGGGGGGCTCTTGAAATTGTCATGACTAGTTTGGAAGTGACAACAGCATTTCCAAGGCTGGAGAAATCCACCCCCCCCATTGCTTTGAAGTTTGGAAAAATTTTGTTTGAGCAGAGACAATCTGTCTGGAAATGTATCAATTCACAAACCTAAATGAACTTCCATGAACTGCTTGAACATTCATGGAAAGTTTGTGCCGGTTGACCTGCCATGAACATCAGTTCACAAACCATGAACTGGCCAAATTTCATCATGCTTTAGTTCATGAGCTGATTGTTGCCCATCTCTAGTTAAGGCAATTGATATATGAGCATGTGAATTTGTTCCACTAGCCTTGTGTGGCAGTGGCTGTCCAGACTCTTAGGGGTATTCTTCAGTTCCGCTTCTTAAGACTCCTTTAATAGGAGAGACCAAGAACTGAACCAAGGACTCTCCGTATGCAAAACTCTGTCACTGAACTATGCCATCTTCTTTAATATCAAGGTGATAGCCCTAGACAACAGAGGCCTGTTAGTCCACCGAGAAAATTTGCAGAATATGTATTCATCACTGTAAAAATTGCAGTAGAACTCAAAGTCTGCAAACAAGAGATATCTGTTCCCATAGACCTATTTACAGGGCAGGCACACTGAAGTGGGCAGTATATTGTTGTCCCCTCTATATAATCACATCAATTTTAATGTTCCTGGAGTCGCATGGGAAGCAACCAATGAGGAACCAGATCCTGTTCCATGGAAGTGGTATACAAATGGGTTTGACTTTTGACCTTTCCCCAAAGCTCTTGTTCCTGATGTTCTTAAGGAGGATGAAACATCCTGACACCAGCACTGCAGCAACATTACATTAGTGCTACACAGTGGTGAAATCAGTTTAGAATTGGGATAGCACAGTTACTGCTTTCAGCTCAGGTTTTGGTGGAATAGGTCCAGCTGTAGATGCCTGGATATCTGATGAAGCCACTTGAGATGATGCACAGGTTCTCAGATGGTGGTTGGTGAGGCTTATGGATATTAGAATGACTTGGAAGGCATGGATGGGAGGAAGAACAGAAGGTTGGTGATATGAGAACGAATGTCCAAAATGTGGACATTTCAGAGCTACTGAAACTGCTCCTAAGGTATTAATAACTCAGAGGCTCCACTATGGTATTTCTATAGAAACAGTCAGTTGCGATGATGTAGATGAATTCTAATTTACTTTTCCAACATTCTCTGTTTTAGAATTTATACAAGGAGAGCTGGGAGAAGCAGAAAGCTACTGGTTATTTTTTGCCTCCTGACAGTGTGCCTATTTGTCACGCCAAACATTCAAATGATGTCCAAAGTGAGGTAAAAAAAAAATCTTTATCTTCTAAAAACCTGTAGCCTATCTCTCATAACTCACTACAACTTATCGTATCTGGTTCAGGGTTCAAAATCCTGTCTTATTTTTGGTGGGCTATATGTTTTAAAGTATGTGATTTCGCCAGTAGTTTGCACAACATTCCTAGAGAACAGGAACTACTAAGTAAACTTAACAATGGCTTTGATACAGTAGATTCAGGTGGGTACCCATGTTGGTCTGAAGCCACAGAACAATGTTCGGGTCCAGTGGCACCTTTAAGACCCAACAAAGTTTAATTCTGGGTATAAGCTTTTGTGTGCATGCACACTTCATCAGATAGTAATTCTGCTGACAGTTTCCTTTCAGTGGAGTGTAACCTTTATATCTCCCCCCTCCCACTACATCTCTAAGTACATAAAACATGAAACCCCAGGAACAGAATGACGGAGGAGTTAAAAGTCTGTAGTGGGACCCCTTCCCTCTTTAGTCCATGGAAATCCTTCACTGGATTCACCCAAAATATTGTCATGAAATAAATTCTTTGAATATTCCTTTAAGATCAGAAACATCCTGTGTTGCTATTGTAAACATTTTCTCCCTCCCCTTCAGCTGAAATACAAAGCAGACTACGTCAAGCAAAAAGGTCACTACGTTGGAGTCCAGAACATGAGACAGGATCCCAAACTGGTGTGGTTTGAGCATGCTGGGAAGATCCAGAATGACAGATTGTATAAAGAGGCATATAATAAGACAAAGTCCAAGATTCATATACCTCCAGATATACTATCTGTCATCGCAGCCAAAGACTGCCAGACAGTAGTCAGTGAAATTCCATATCGCACTTACCTTCATGAATGGACATGCCACCCTGACCAGAATGACTGCATCCAAGCAAGGAAAGCGTATGATCTTCAAAGTGATGTAAGTGATTATCCAATTAAAGTGCACACATTTTAAACAGATAGGTATCAGTTTATTTAATAGATCTAGTTTGTAAAATCAAATTGAGACTTAATTTGTGCCTTTCTTAATTTCTAGGCCACCTTGTGGTTGACATAACACTTCCATTAATAAAAAGAGACACACAGTTATATCCATAATATAACAAACTGGCAATGTAAAACCACAAATTCAGCTTCAAATGCAACATTATAAAATCAGCAACATAAAACTATTGTCTCTTCTAAAGGAAACCACCTTATTAATAGGGAGGGGGCAGGTCTTACTTTACTTGGTATCCTGTTCCAGAACATTGGACCACCTCTGAAAAGCTCTGGAATGGACTGCCAGTGTCAGTACCCACCAAAGGAGTGAACAAGGAGGAGGAGCATCTTTTTTCTGCATAGCCATAAACAATTCTTCATCTGTTTTTTAATGTTTACAGAATCTTTATAAATCTGATTTGGAATGGATCCGTGGCTGTGGGTGGATTCCTTTAGATTCGGTGGAACATCGGAAGGTTAAGAATGCTCAGGACCTGATTAACAAGGTAAGTGAAAAATGTCACATATTTACAACAGCACATTTAATATCATGTTCACTTCCCATACTTTGTATTTATGATACTCTTAATCATATTTATCTACAGAGAATCTACACAAAGGATGCTTTGGACAATTTCTCTAAGTTCACGTCTGTAACTGATGCTCCAGATGTTGTTTTGGCTAAGGCAAACGCAATAAATCAGAGTGATGTAAGTATCTTTTTAAACAGGACTGGCAATTAAACAATGCTTTTTGAAATGCTACTGTAGTATATTATCAAAATTATTATTGGCTAGTTACTGTGGATAGTACTGTGAAGACCAGTGATCCATAGACCAGTGATCCTCAGTGTGATGCCCATGAATACCATGTGTTCATCAAGGTGTTTCCTGGCACCTACTTGTCCTTTCCCTAAAGTTTCTATTCTTGTGAGGCAGATAGCCATTTTGTGATTGGCCTTACTTCCAGCCATTTTGTTATGGTACCTACTGCCCATTCCCAAAATGCCAAAGGTCTTCATAGGCTCAACAAGGTTGGTGACCCCTGGTATAGATTAACTGCTCAATAGATTATCAAAAAGACATTACAATTCCATAAAGCTTTTTGTTTTGTAAAAACCCAATATCCAACTTTCATGGCATTGTATATGTATTCAGCAAATACAATATCATGTTTTTGCAGATGCCATCCATTCCCACCAGTCATTTATCCCAGAGCTGTCCTATGAACTTTAAGGACAGCATTCTTGAGTAAATCGAATTTAAGCAGAACTTGTGGTATACTTGAATAGCTCTCAAAATGAGGAAGGAAGACAACATGAAATGAAGAGCATGTATATTTTGTGTAATTATGCAAAAATGATGGCATTGCACCAAATTATTGGTATCATAAAAATGATCATAATGAAGATATACTGAATGGATATCTTAAATAATAATAAATATACTTTAATAAGCATGATGCACTCAAGTGTGTTTTCCTCATTTTCAAATTCCTTGATCTGTGAGAGCTGGCATGAAGCTTTCAGTGGCTTCTAGTCCAGAAGTGTATTTCCTGACCACTAGTGGATTGAGCAAATTCCAGCAAAGTGATTGGTATCTGATCAACTGCTGACTGCAGTTGACATGTACTCCCTGGTGCAGAAAATTGGATACAACATTAAGCCCTAGTTTCCATACAAGGGAAACCCTCTTCCCTTTGTTATAGTCTGATTGTATCACAATAGCATCAGCAGCCATTACCAGTGCAATCATAAGCAAAGTTACATCCCTCAGCATTCATTGAGGTCAATGGTCTTAGATGGATGTAATTCTGCTTTGGACTGCACTGCATCATGGCTACTTTGGCACTAAGTGGTACAAGGAGTACCACACTGGGGGATTGGGGTGAAGGCAGTTGCACAGGACTGGCGGTCCATCCTAAGAATCTCCAACACCTTATGCTACCACAAGTGTTCATTGGCTAAACACTATGTAGTAGAAGAATCAAAATGGGAGACTGTGCTACCCCTTTGTCAACAGCAACAGTAACATGCATTAAGATGTAGATCTTTAATGAAGTGCTTCTCGTTGAGCTTCTTATATTTTTTCAAGCACTGGGGGGGGGAAGTGGAGACACTCTTACAGTATAGCTCTAAGCTGAGTTATACCTTTTTAACTCAATTGAAGTCAGTAGGCTATATCTGCATAGGATTGCTCTGTTAGGTTCTGTTGCAAATATAGTTACTCTTCTGCAATCTGATCAACTGCTGACTGCAGTTGTAAACGTTATCGATAATGACTTGAAGAACTAGAAATCAATAAGTATTAAATACGATAAGGTATCATTGCTTGGTATTAACACCATTCTTACTTTTTTTCTTCAGCTGAAATACAAAGAAACCTTTAATCTTGAGAAAGGCCACTACATTGGTTCTGAGGACACTATAGCCTTGAACCATTCTAGAGATGTATCTAAGCTTTACAGTGATGTAAGTTTCTGGCAATTATCAGTTCTACCTGCTAATAACTAAAAGTGAAGATCCTTGCTTTATTAATAGGGTATAGTGCCATAATTTATTCGCTTTGGGTGGGGGGGGGCTATGACTCAGTGGTAGAGCATTTGGTTTGCATGTATAAGGTCTCTGGTTCAGTCCCAGGCATCTTCAGTCAAAAGGGTTGGATAGTAATCAATATAAAAACCTCAGCTGAGACCACATAGAACTGCTGCCACCAACGAGAATAGATTATATTAACCCTGAGAGACCAATGGTCTGAATCAGTACATGTGTTATGTGAAGTGCATCTACTGAAACCTCATTCTCTCACATCAGCTTGACTTGTGTCATGGACTGCACTTCTGCCAAGTTCTGGATAAGCCAGCTGATTTAAAAAAATAATGGGATGCTAACATCTTGAATTTCCAGATTTATAACATATTAAAGGCTCTGTATTAAAGGAATGTGGTGCTCTAAGTAAGAAAAGCAAATACCATGGCTAAGACATGGCGTGTACATAAGTTCTTTTATATAAAGGTTTTACATATACTTTAGAATCAAGAGATTCACCATTAATTTGATGTACAGTAAAAGCTTTGCTATCAGGCGCTTGACTATCCAAAATACTCAGCTAATCAACATTGCTCAGAGGGCAAGCTCCTTACCCTCAGACACCATACCCCAGTGTCTTTAGGCATGTGTGTGCACTCTCCTCCTTCCTCTGCAGCTGAGCAGCTTAATGCCTCATCCATTGTGAGGCTGCTGACATCCCCCTCAACTGGTCTTGAACTTTCAGGGACCTGCTCTGCTGAAGGCTTTTGGGTAGATGGTTACTTTGCCTACATAGGATGGATCTGTGGCTGTGGGGAAGGGTCCCACCAGCCAAGTGGGCTGTAGCCATGACATTCCCATTTGTATGAGGTTTGGTTGCTGTGCATTCTCTGGATAGGGAGTGGGGCAGAGTGATGAGCTTCAGTATCCAGCATATTTGATTAAGCAGCAACTCCTATTTCCCATGAGTGCCCAACAGCCAAGTTTTGACTATTCTGGAGAGGTGATTAGCTCACAGTTTTCTTTGGCCAGGATCTAGATTTTGATCACCTGACAATGCAGTTTCCAAAGCACTTCACCTGTGGAAATGAAGTTCATGGACCTAAATTCAAGTTCACTGATGGAACTTGAACTTAGGCTTATGAACACTGCAGTTTTCTTTTAATGTGGGTATACCCTCAAGCAAAGAAGTCATTTTCTGTATGAGAACTCTGAGCAAAAGCGGTTCGGTGATATGAAAAAAAAAGCTGTTCAGTGGATCTACCCCTACATTGACAGCAGGACTGAACTTTCATGGCACAGGGTGCAAGTCCCCAGTTACTGTCTTTGGAGTGATCACCTGTATTTTTTTACAACTTGATTTTAAAGCACTATATTATCGTTTAAATATTTATTTCAGACACCTACAGTACCATACTAAGCACACTTATTAGGGAATGTCCCAGTTACCTCAGTGGGATTTACGAGTGGGAGTATACAACTTTAGGATTACACTTTTAGTAAGCTACATTCTCTGTATCAACTGGCATCCAAAAATAAAAACGACTGCATTAAAAATATGTAAAGACCAATAATCATATGAAATTCATCCAATATTGCCTAATCCAATAAAAATGTAAGAATGACAGTGCAGTTCTAAGTAGAGTTATACCCTTCTTGGCCAGTGGATTTAGATGGGAGTAACTCTAAAGAGGTGAGAAAGGTTATCGCTATAAAATTTTGGACTGTCTGAATTTTGTTTTAGCTTCTTTTTTTTAAGAACTACACTTGTTGAATTATATCCTGGACATTTACAAACAATATGCATATTTTGTCACTTTCTAGGTACTTTACAAGGAATCATGGGAATCAGGCAAGGCCATCGGGTACACTCTTCCTCCAGACTACATCCCTATTGTTGGGGCCAAACATGCCGACTATGTTAATAGTGAGGTTAGTATGAATTTTCTTTCCATTGTAGTTACTATGCCTTTCTTTGTGCAACTGCTCCTTCCTAATAAGTCCCATGTTTGTGTTTTGCAGCTTAAATATAAATTAGAACATGAGAAGCAAAAAGGCCATTATCTGGCTGGGACACAAATAAATGATTTCCCAAGTGTTGTCCATTCTCTTGCTTTCCAAAAAATAAGGAGTGCGGTAAGATTTTTCTCTTCCATTGAGCAGGGGTCAAAATAATTATAACAGGATAACTGTATGATGTTAAAAACACAAAATCATATTTTCTATTTTAATATCTTGATTTCTAGTTGGCCTATAGGAAGAATTATGAGGACACCAAGGCGCATATTCATATCCCAAGTGACATGATCAATCACGTGCTGGCAAAGAAATGCCAATATATCCTCAGTGATCTTGAGTATCGAACATATCTACACCAGTGGAACTGTTCACCTGAAGAGCATGATGTTATCATGGCTAAAAGAGCCCAGGAAATTCTAAGTGATGTATGTAAAAAAAAAAATTCTTGATTTTAAAGAACAATTTCATATATTACAAAAGCAGGGAAAATAGAATAGCAGACCTCTGAGTATTTCACTCTTTTGCTACACTATACAGGTAGTTTATTGCCTAACAATGTGAGTTATTGTGAGCCAGGAGATCTCCAAGTAAAATCTTGATGTGGCCATGAACCCATGAGAAACAACTCACTCTCCCTCAGTTCCCCATCTATAGTGTGGGGATGAGTAACACCAGCCTAGTTTCTTTTACTAAGGTGACAGTGTAATCTAGGCTTACCAAATGCCGGTGGGGGATCTACAGCTCTTTACAGGATCCCTGCCGCGGGGGACGGCGACACGCGGTGCACCCGCCGTCGCCAGGATGTGACGCTACGTTTTGCTCTGGCAACAGGACTCCAAACAGCCCCGTTGCCAGAGCGACGCGTAGCGTCACATCCTGGCGACGGCGGGTGCACCGCATGTCGCCGTCCCCCGCGGCAGGGATCCTGTAAAGAGCTGCAGATCCCCCGCCGACATTTGGTAAGCCTAGTGTAATCCTAAACAGAATTATACCCTACAATGGGTTTGTGTGTGTGGTGTTATGAGTAAGTGCTTTAAAGTTGCTTCCTACTTATGGTAACCATATGAATTAGTAGCCCTAACCTGGATAGCCCAGTCTAGCCTGATCTCATCAGGTCTCGGAAGTTAAGCAGGGTCAGCCCTGGTTAGTATTTGAATCGGAGACCACCAAGGAATACCAGGGTCATGACACAGAGGCAAGCGATGGCAAATCACTTCTGAACATCTCTTGCCTTGAAAACCCTCCAGGGTTGCCATAAGTCAGCTGTGACTCGACAGGGGAAAAAAAGAATTAATGACCTCCAAAGTGTCCTATACTTAACAGCCTTGCTCAAGTCTTGCAAACTGAAGGCTGTTGCTTCTTTCACGGAGTCAGTCCACCTCATGTTGGGTCTTTTTGTTTTCTCATAATGTGACCAAAGTACAATAGCTTCAGTTTAGTCACTTAAGCTTCTAGGAAGAGTTCAGGCTTGATTTAATTGAGAAAACAAATTTGTTTTTTGGGCAGTTCATGATATCTGTAAAACTGTGACCCAACATTCTACTTGGGGCTGCCTTTGTCGCAAATCCGGAAGCTGCAGCTAGTGCAGAATGCGGCAGCGAGGTTGTTGATGGGCCTCTCCAGGCGAGACCACATCCGACCGGTGCTGCATGCGCTGGACTGGCTGCCTATAGCATACCGGATTCGTTTCAAAGTGCTGGTGCTGACCTTTAAAGCCCTGAATGGCCAGGGTCCGGCCTACCTAAGGGACCGCCTCTCCCCGTACATTCCCCCAAGAGCACTGAGATCGGGGAACCTCCATCGCCTGGAGGTACCAGGCCCCCGAGAAACGAAGCTGACCCAAACCAGGACTAGGGCATTTTCGGTGGCGGCTCCCACCTGGTGGAATGAGCTCCCGGAAGAGACTCGGGCCCTGCGGGACTTAGTGCAGTTCCGCAGGGCCTGTAAGACGGAGCTCTTCCGCCAGGCCTTTGAGGGGGAGCCGCCGCCGCCGCCACTGTTCCATCAATGATATTCCAACCACCTACCCCATGAATGAGGTAGATGTCGCCCAATAGTGCTGAGAAATATTCTTCCTGGTGCTCCTGCAGTGAAGAACTTGGCCGCCAGTGTGGGACGTCGTCCATCTTGGTTTTTATATAAATTAATTGAGCACCAAATTTTATATTGGATATATTTTTATTATGCTGTTGTTTTGTATTGACATTTTAACTTTGTAAGCCGCCCCGAGCTGAACATGGGATGGGGCGGGATATAAATCCCAAAAATAAATAAATAAATAAATAAACATCACATTTCACATGAATCAGCTTTCTTCCTGTTTCTTCATTGTCCATCTTTCACACCCGTACACAGTAATGGGAAATAAGAAGGCTATAACTCTGTTTAGAGATTCCACTGTTAAGTCTGTAGCATACTTTGAACGCTGTCAAGTGCTTCCTAAATGCTAAGTATTATTTCCTTGTAACTCTTTTTGTGGAATCCATGTACTCACATATGAATGAGATGAAGGCATCCCCACAGCTTCTGGTTGCAGCAATAGCTTGCTATTCTCCCGCTTCTGCTTTCTCCGCTGATCCCCAAGTTGTAGGGCATTGAAAGATACCAGCATGATGAGAGAGAAAATGCAAGGAGACTGTATGTTTTCTGCCAAGTAACTATTTTTTAAATACTCATTTGCAGGTTTTGTACAAGGATGACTTAACTTGGCTGAAGGGAATTGGCTGCTATGTATGGGACACTCCTGAAATCCTGCATGCTAAGAAGTCTTATGATCTCCAGAGTCAAGTAAGCAAATTTCTCTGTCATTGCTGCTGGAGGAGAAATAGAACACTTAGTCTTGAAGAGCTTCTCCTGTAGTGTCAATCACACCAGAAATTAGTCCTGGTTGCCAGTTTCATATGTTATTGCACAAAGAACTGGGTGACGCTGCCTTTGAAAAGCATTAATATTTTCATGATTTCCAGAATCTGTCCTACCACAAGTATTATTTTTATTTATGAGTACACTCTTAATTTGTAGTGTTGAGATTATAAGGGAATGGTGACAGCAAATAAACTGGTATATATGAGTAAATAAAAGACAGATATCAAAATATGACTTAAAACAAAAGGAAGTGTAGGTTTGCCAGATGTTCGGCTTTAATATTCAGCATAACCCAAATTAAGTCCTGAAATCAGTGGAAGAAGAAATGAGTATTACTCTTAAAGATGTCATGTGGATTTGTTATAAGAGCTGGGGGGAAAAAAATCAAAGAATGTTTCTGTGACTGTCCAGGCTGCTCTACAAATATGGAAAGGACACAAAGAAAAATTAAGTCTTGGGTTGTCTCTGTTAACATCAATGGTTTATAATTCAGAATTCTGTATAATGGAGTTATTTAGTGACCCAACTGCTTGGCATCACAAATTGTTGAGTAGAGGATTGGTTATGAAATGATCAAATGCCTTCCTATGACGAGATAGTTGGGAAAATGGCTGGACACTGCCCACCACTACTCTAGTATATTGAACTTAGTGCCATTGCCCAAGGGATAGCAAATAAAAACCTACTGAATAGGAAAAAGACAGAATGTGAGCTATTAACAGAGAAGAACTTATGTAAAGAATGAATAGAATGATTATATAAATCTGTCCTCCTGCCCATTATTCTGTTTAGCATTTAGTGCTTTTCCAACTGATTGAAATGACTCCTGTTGTATAAATTGTGTCAGCTTCCTGAAATGGTGTTCCTCAGGAACAGGACTCCAGGAATGCAATTCAAGAGACATTGTATATTTGTACCAGGAAGTGGGAACTACCCACAACTAAAGCTATTCCTGGGTTTTGTTACTATTTTATTTTACTCTGTTTTAAAAACTTGGTACAAAATTTTGTCTTTGGTTTTGATTCTATTGTATTTTACTCTATTTACTTGAGAGCCAGTTTGGTGTAGTGGTTAAGTGCGTGGACTCTAATCTGGGAGAACCCGGTTTGATTCCCCACTCCTCCACTGGCAGCTGCTGGTGTGACCTTGGTCAAGCCATAGTTCTGTCAGAGCTGTTCTCTCAAGGACAGTTCTGGAAAGAGCTCTCTCTGCCCCACCTACATCACAGGGTGTCTGTTGTGGAGAGGGGAAAGGAAAGGAGTTTGTAAGCCGCTCTGAGACTCCAAGTGAAGGGCAGGGTATAAATCCAATCTCTTCTCTTCTTCTATATTAAAAACTTTATACAGAATGTTGGCTTGTCTAAAAGCCTGTGAGCTGTAGAGGCAAAACAGTTAACAAATTAAACCTGTTCCACGAATGGAAATGAACTTCAGGATCCAAGCCCCTGTTTCCTCTTTTACAAGTATTCAGTAAACATGGCTGATCATTCTGCACAATCAGCATAACAAAAGAAAGATCAGAGAGCTGAGTTAGGGTTAGAAAAAAGCTACATAATGCCTGAACAATATCACCATTGATGCCTGCATTTTCCATTCAAGTTCACATGTAAGTTGGAAATATTCATTGTTCAATTTAAACAACAGCCCTAACTTTGTCTCGCAGCTTAAGGGAACCCACTTGAACCATAATAGTTTCAGCTAAGCAGAACGTGAGGCATTCTTTTGCATCCCTACCATGTGAGTTTCACTGGAAGTGCTAGATGCAAACACTTCCCACTGTTGTCTTGTTGAATAGTGTGCTTGCGGTACACACCTATGAACAGACATAATATGGATTAGCGTAGTAACACCACCTGTAGCTACTAAAGAATCTATTGCCTGTGATAATGCTTCTTTTTGCCTTTGTTTCACAGCTGAAGTACATAAAAGAGGGAAAAGAGAATTTCAAGAACTATGGAGTGGTTCTTGACACTCCAGTTTATGTAACTGCACTCCAGAGTGGTATCAATGCTAGTGATGTGAGTCATTCCCCTCATCCATACTTCCAGCTTCTTTCCTTTTCATTCTTTTTTGTGGTTCACAGCAGTTATTTAATTGATAAATTTTCCTCTAATATAGCTCAAATATAAAGAAGAATACCATAAAACAAAGGACCAATATACTACAGTGCTGGAAACAGTAGACCACGAAAGGACTCAGAATCTGAAGCACCTTTTTAGCAATGTAAGTGTTGGCAATTTACTTTCCAAGGGTGGATGAGTCTGACTTTGCTTTGTGGTCCTGTCAATATTTTTAAGCTATAAATAAAACGATGTGCATAATTGCATGTTTGTTGATTTGATATATCTAAGAGACTTCCTCTGAGCATATGTCCTTTCAACCCAGAGTATCTCTTCAGTTATCTGTGTTAACAGCGAGGATATTTAGGAAAAAAGATACATTTCTCTGTAGTTGCCCCACAGCTATGGAAATTCCCCATCTTTGAAGATTAGAGCAAAAGCGTGAGCTTGATTGTTATTGAAGAAGATTGTAAAAATGATAATCGCCAAGGATGGATGATCTCTATGGAGAGATAACTCTAAGGCTGGTTGCTACGTAAGATGAAAAGTAGCTGAATCTTTGCTTATTATCACCAATAAAATGCTGATTTAGCAGCAAATATTCATAAAACAACAAATACTAAGTTTTATTAAGGTGGATTTTTCCAAGCTTATATATAGTATTTTTTAAAAAATTCTCCCCTCTTCAGAACCTGTATAAAGAAGCCTGGGAAAAAGTGAAGTCTGTTGGCTTCACGTTGCCTCCTGATGCTGTGCCATTTGTTCGTGCTAAAGAACTGAAGCATAATGCCAGTATTGTAAGTATTGCGTTCAAGCTTTACATTGGTGAATTAGCTATACAAATATTATGTAATCATAAGCAACTTGATTTCAATTTTCTTTCTGCTCAGGTAAAGTACCGGGAGGAATATGATAAGTTTAAAGCACTTTACACTATTCCAAGAGGAGTTAAGGATGATCCAAATACTGCAAGATGCCTAAAAGTTGGCAAATTGAATATTGATGTAAGTTTTTTTTAAAAAAAAAAATCAATAAACAAAACAGCATTTTACATCAGGCTAAGTCCATAAGCTAGTTTTAGGTATTGAAATATGAGTTCCCTGAGTGATACAAAGTTCAGCAGTGTTATGTTGTATATAATGTGCTCTATAATATCTGTCTTAGTTACAAACATTCACATAGAGCATACTGGAAGCAATAGACTCCTACAGAAGATGACAAAACAACCAATCCTGCACCAAGGAAAGTAACTGAATGGACTCCTGTAGCCTTAGGCTAATTATAGTTCAGCTTCAGTTTTAAAAAGGGCAGGACATGAGCAAGGATAATTTCCCATATTTCATGAACCTTTTAAATCACTTTCCCCTCAAGTGTAAGAGTCCATATTTCCTGCTTTGAATTTTTTTTAAAAGAAAAGACAGTAGAAAAACTGTAGGCTAGCTATCTAGATGAAACAGTACCATGGGCTAGCAGACAGGTACTGAAATAGTCCTATGACTAAAATGCAATTTTTTTTGTCATCTGGAAAGGAATTCTATGTCTAAACTCTCTAAGGGTAGACTTGGTCTAATGGTATATCTAAACTCTTCAGTCATATCTTAATAGTACGAGATTAATCTAGTGTTGAGAACTCATACATTGCCATTGCTAGCCATGTGTTCCCTGACTTTGCCTAATTAGATCGGTATTTTAATTGCTGTGGTCTTCATTTTTGAAAGCTTGTCTGAGTATAGTTTAGTGAGAGGGAGTGTAAAATCCTAAAACAAGTAAATCATATTAATTTGCAGCAATTCCAATCAGTTTCTCTTGCCTTAGAAAATTTACCAGGAGTGACAATATTTCAAATATGTGGTCTTTTTAAAAACTGTGATTAATTTAGTTATTTTAACTTTATAGCGGCTATACAGAGAAACCTATGAAAAGAACAAGGCCAAAATTCACATTGTCCCAGACATGGTTGACATTGTGTCTGCTAAAGACACTCAGAAGAAAGTTAGTGAAATTGATTATCGTATACGTCTTCATGAGTGGGCCAACATCGCAGATCCTCATGCCCATGCTCATGCTCGAAAAGTCAATGACCAACTTAGCGATGTAAGTCTGCAAACTGTATCGTGTCTGTCTTGAAGAATTTTTTCAGTGTGAAATATTCCATTAGCATATCTTAAGAAAAAGGAATATTGATGGTGCAACATACCATCTTTGGATGCATCATAACCGGGGTCACTAAAGACAGGCTAAAATGATAATTTGCTGCTAATGGCTTGTAGTTCAAGGTTTTTTACTTGAGCGTGCCATTAAGAACCACTGTTCAGGAACAGTGTTCAAATGAGGAACAGTTTGATCTCCCTTTCCTTCAGTTGCCACTTAGCTGTAGTAGCAGGACAGAGATGAATCAAGATTTTTTAAAAAATGTTAAGGTTACAAAAACCAGGACAAGGGAACCCAAGGGAATCAGAAGCCTGTAGAGTAGAAAATAGACTGACAGGTTACCTAAGGAAAAAGCAGGCAGAGAAGAAGGAGTGAATTTTAGCAGGAATATCTGAAGAAATTTCACAGAAATCAAGGCCAGATAGTGGGAATGTATATATTGCGGGATAAGGGGTAGACAAATTCCAGTAAGCCTGGTCAAGAGACAGAGTGGCTACAGTAAATGAAAGAAAGTTTTTAGTGTACTGAGAATCCTGAGAAATCTGAGGAAATAGAGCTGTAAAGAAAGGAGGAGCCAAACAGGAAGTAAGATTGTGGCAAATCTACACATGGGGCCTAGAAGCAAGATGGGCTATGCTTAATTGACAGAAAGGAAGTCATCAGGTTGTTGAGGAACCTTAGGGGCAACTTATCAGTTATGGTTTCTACCGTTGTTTTACCATAACTTGGCCATATTTCTAGCCTTTAACCTACAGTTCTCGCAAATGATACCTGATAGTTGAGACAGCTGAAGAAAAGTGTAATGTGAATTCACAATGGTATTGCCAGGGATGTTTGCTGCTTCCCAAAGGAAGTTATTTACCACCTAGCTGATTCAGGGATGCTTAATAAAATCAGCATGATCTACAAAATTAGATTCCCATGGTGAATAAAAAGTTTGATTATTATGTAATCCATCTTTCCTATTTTATTGCTATAAAGTTCTCATTGTTTCTCTTTCTTGCACCTCTAATGACTTAGATTGTATATAAAGATGATCTCAACTGGCTCAAAGGCATAGGGTGCTTTGTTTGGGACACTCCTGAAATTCTCCATGCCAAACATGCCTATGACCTTCGCAACGATGTAAGTATGGCCTTTCAACAACAGCTTAGCCTCTGTTCTAGTTTGCTTCTTAGATCTGGGCACATGTCAATTCCGTGCCAATCAAAAAGTTTGCACACTGTGTGCAGCTTTGTCAGTATGTGAGTACTGCTCTGTGAACAAACTTGTTTCTTCAGCAGCACATATTTTAAGACTCCATGGGCACTCATTGGTTCTCAGATGGTGTGCATATGGCAGAATAGTCATATTGGTGCTCATCACAGTGCTTGATCAAGTTTCAGCATCAACATTTTACCTACATGGAACAGCTGTTTGTGTAGTGACTTGCAGTTTTTGCTGGCATTAATTTGTGAGGGAGCATCAATCTGTTTTTCTCTAAAAAGTTTGGAGGGAAGGGCTCCAAGAAAACCGGCAAGTACGGCTTGTATATTGTGTGCGTGTGTAAAGTTCTGTCAACTTGCAGCTGACTCATGGTGACCCCTCATGGGGCTTTCAAGGCAAAGGATGAACAGAGGAGGTTTGCCATTGCCTGGCTCCGCAGAGCAACTCCCTGGACTTCCTTGGTGGTGTTGCATCCAGGTATTAACCAGGACTGACACTGATAGCTCATGAGATTTGATGAGATAGGGCTAGCCTGGGCTATCTAGGGTATACCTGTAGGAAAGCTGCTAGTTGGATAGAGCATTTTAAAAGTACAGTCATAAGATATAGACTTGCAGGATATATAAAAATACAAATGTCCCTCTTTTTTATAGCTCAAATACAAGTCAGTGGCTGATAAAATGAAGAGTAAATTCACTGTGGTCACAGACACACCAGTGTATGTTCAGAATGTTCTGAGTGGTATGAACCTGAGTGAAGTAAGTATGACTTTTTCTATTAAACTCAGATTTTCTACCGTGTACCAATTATTGCTGCAATACATCATTCGGCACTGGCATTTGCCTTTTCATATTTATTTATTTATATTTATTTATTTATTTTTCACACTTATATCCCACCCTCCCCAGTGGGCTCAGGGCAGCTAACAGAGGCCAGATCATTAGTCTAGCCATAAGTAAAAACATATAAAAATATAATAAAACATCAAAACTAAGATTAAAGTGCTCTATCCAGTCATGTCACCACTTCTTCAGTTATATCTCACACCTGGCACACCTGTTTCTATTGTGTGTATTATATTCAGAATCACACTCAGCCTTTATAGTCAATTTTTTGCCTCTAAGAATTTGTTAATTTCCTAGTCTTGTCCTCTATATTTCTTCTAATACATCTAATATATGTATACTGATCATAAACACAATAGAAACAATACAACACAGAGTTCAACAGTCACATGAGTTCCTCATCTTGCAGTGCAAGTGAGCACATGGAATATTTCACTTGCCACTGGTATTGCAAGCTATATCAGAAGCAGTTGTGGGACCCATATCTTACTTTTTGACTTGCATTATATATTTTCAGGATTTCCTTGTTTCAAACTTTTTCTAGGTCCATTTTTTCTGAGCATTGCGTTTGCAAGCCATGCTCTATCTATGGAAAAAAAACAGACTGGGTAGATTTAATATATATTTTCCCAGCATTAATATTTTTCCTCATAAAGGAACCCCACCTTCTGCATTTCAAAATTAGGACCAGATATGTATGTCTAGTCAGTATTTGGTACAGAAGAAGTAACAGAATGTGTACTGTGAGCCAACACTTAACTTGCTCTGTTTTGTCAATTCCTTAGGCTGTTTACCGCCATGACTATGTATGTAACATTAAAGGGAAATATACTCCTGTTGATAAGACTGTGGATTTGGAGCGAGCAAATAATGCATACAAAATACAATGTGAAGTAAGTGACTGAACTGTTAATTCTGAATGGGGGGTGGACGGGAGGGAGGATGCATTGGGATTAGTGGCACCGTGCTATAAAAACATAAAATTAAAAGTAATAGTAATAAAGAGTAATGTCCGAATTCTGCCACTGGAAGTTTATCCTCCATTTGTACCTTTTTAATTTTGAACTTCCAGGTCATAATCATTGGAGGAAAAATATCCTTGACAAAATCATTACTCAATGAAATTGTCATATAGGCTCGTAACCTTACCTGCAACCATAGGGCCGTCACGGGTCCCCATCAGTTCCCTGCAGCTGTCATATATGTCTTATAAATGTTTGTCCATGGGGAAGAGTAGTGGTTGAGGTTAGAGCAACAGGCAAGGAAAGTGTGAGGGGTTGGAAGGGATGGGGACCAATCAGAAAAGCCTAGTGTCCCTCACAGGCTGTCTGTCAGGGATCTGGGCCACAGACAATGAGAGATACTACTACTTTACACAGAGAGTGATTAAAATGTGGAATTCACTGCAAGAGGATGTAGTGATGGCCACAGAAATAAACAGCTTTAAAAGGGGATTAGATAGATTATTGGAGGATGTCTATCAATAGCTACTAACCATGGTGACTGAGGGAAACTCCACATTCAGAAGCAGTCAACCTTTGAATCCCAGAGTCAAGAGGCAACATCAGGGGAAGGCCTCAGCCTCTATGCTCTGTAGTTGGCTCTCTGGAGGAACTGATTGGCCACTGTGTGAGACAGGATGCTGAACTACATGGATCATTGGTCTGATACAGCAGGGTTCTTTTTATGTTCTTAGGTATCAGTATTGTGTGAACTGAAAAGACCAGCTCTAGTTATGACTGTATTTGTTACAAAATCAAGACATTACTTCATGTAAATCTTATTTTCTTGGGTGACAGGGTCTCTACCGAAATGCTGGTTTACATGCTCTTCCCACCGGATATACACTCCACTCGGACACTCCTGGTTTCAAACATGCTAAACATGCCCAGTACATTGGTAGTGATGTAAGTAGTTTACTACCTTATTTTAAAAATTCTTTATTTTTCAAATTTTATTTTGTTTTAGAATTTTAAAAATGAATGAATGGATAGAGTTGTACAAGTAAATGAATATATGATGAACTAAAACAAATATATAGTTTGAATTTATAATGTTAAACTCATTAAGAACAGTGCAAGATAGTTTGCAGGTAACATTGCTGCTGTAACAAAATAATATTAAGGGAAATTGATAACTGTCTCCTACCTACCTATACACTACTCTGTCACTATAAAAATGTATCATACTATATCCTTTTGACTGTGTCAATATATCCATAGTTCTATATGGTTTTACCGTAGACTTTCTGCCAATTCCTAGTTAGGTGTGATATCACTTCCAGGCTTCACTGGAAGTAATGTTATGCTGTTGAACAATGGAGATTTTAAAATATTATTTATCTATAAGAAATACCAGCTGTGGCAGGGGATGGGAACCTAATTAGTTCTACTGAAATTTGCATGGCTTTATTTAGGATTAGGGTGTGGTGTATTTTATTACCAAATTGATTAAATTTAGGTGAAATAATTTAATATTCTTTTGTTGAATTATAGCTGTATGCGGTATCCAAACTAAATCCCAGATAATGTTATATACTGTAATTTTATTTGTAACAAATATTTCATTGATTTATAGAAACAGGAGAATACTGCAAAAACACAGTTCATGGGGGAATCAGTGAACAAACTAAATAAATATATAAGAAATATATATATAAGAGGGGGGGAAATATGAG